GCCTAGTACATATATTTATCCATCTCAAATGATTCTCCGCACTCGCAGGGTATCCGGTAAATGCAATTCTTGGAATCGCAGTCCGCGTTTGGTAGCCTGGTTTTTGTGAGGCTGCTACGGATAATGTTCCCAGATCTGAAGCAGGTCCCTATGTTATACTTGGACCCAGTCCTTCTTATCCTTTCCGATAATCCACTGATGTAGGAAAGTACAAGTACTGGTTGTGGCGGTTTCTCTTCCTTGTGGAACTCTTGCTGTTTTCTAGCTAAAGCCTGTTCTATCTGAAGTAGAATTATCGATCTATTTATCGACAACTCTGTGTCTGTAGGCTTCACAGTTTTAATATTTTCTGTGTTATCACAAATAATGTTTATAGAGTTTTTCATATTGAGGCCACATCGTAGCATATCCAAAGTTGAATTTCGGCATATGCATTATTTAATTCAGAGAAATGCAAAATTTTCGAAATCGCCGCGCAGATTTTCCGAATTTTTTGACTTCTTTGTTGGAGATAGCAAATTTTGATCTCCAGTTATCTCATCACTCTCCAATAGATCTGTCTATATCTCTAGAAAGTCAAAATCAGAATCAAGTATTTTAATAAAATCCCCTTCCCTCAGATTTCATATGTGCACAAAACATACTAAGAGACTATTTCCAGGGTCAATGTCGGAAATAAAGTCTGCAATCTCATTCATATAAGTGAAATTGCTGTTTGTATCATCAGTTGTGATTCCTTACACAGAATTTGTCAAATCGTAGAATTCCAATGTATCAGCAAAAAGCTGACCGGAACATTTCCATTGCCAAAGAATTAATTTTATTCCTATCCGGAAAATTGCGTATCTTACACTCGTTAGATTTTCTCACTCGGCTCCCGCAGCGTTCAACAACATTCTCATTCGTGTGAAATGTATCACCGTCTACACTAGTTGTGTAATATACTCTTCTGCAAAACCCTGTTTCAGCGTTCAGCCAAAACCTGGCTGAAGTCTGATTATTGAGGAATTTGCATTGTTTATGTGCCGGCTCTTGTATAGGTTCACGATCTTCGGATTGAGAAGTAATTTCCTCTAACACATATTCTGACTCGCTGGTCTCTGATTTCATTATTTCCGATGAATTACTCTTTTTTTTCTTGCAAGGCACTTCTTAAGTACTCATGTAATTTTGTGATGTCACATACTTGGTCGAAATTACCATTCACCTAAGACGTGTATGTATGCATAATTGATTCAGTCAGCTCGGAGCTTGGGGAACCCCCGTATTTTGTCTAAGAGCGAGCGAGCTTGCAGAAATATACACCGTGCGACACGTGCGTATCAAGATCAAGTAATATGAAGTAGCTTGATTTCAAGTCAAGTAATACATATCTCAAATCAAGTCAAGTCAAGTATGTAAATTTTCACGAGCTTGATTTTTAAGTCAACTCAAGTAGTTTGTTGGAATATTAAGCTACTTGACTTGATAGATCTGTATTTTAAAGGGGTTAAACCCGACTCCAGCTTGTTCGATTGAAAAAAAATGTAATTCATTACTTATATTATACTTAGAAGAAAAGTTATCTGTATATGGGTAGAGCCCATACACAATTTGAAAACTGGCAAGTCATGGTGCAATTGCAATTTTATAAAAGTGATTGATTTTTTTGTGTAATATATTGAGGGTTTTTGAACCAATTACGGTAACAGAAATAATGTAATCCAAACTTCATTGAAGGTACTTCTTCCAAGCTTTTCTATGAATTTCTTAAAATTTATTTCAAGTATATAACACCTTTTCCGTCACAAAACAAAAAACACCCTCTCTAGCTTACCGAGTTGAGATGAGTGGTGTGGAAATTTTTTTTTCACTCATTATTCCGCTAACAAATAGTGTCGGGGTAGTACGAAAAAAGTTAGATGTGTATAACGCTGGGTCGTAGTAAATAATTACCGGGATGTGGATGTTAGAACGTCTATTGTGGATACAATACAATTTAATTGTAGTCCTATAACAGAATCCTTTTCTCATAATCAAGCATGTTTGAATTATATGAAATTATGAAAATATAAGTGTAGTAATAATGAAAATAACAGTCAGCTATTTACTATAATATTTTTAATGGAAATATCCCGCAACCACAAACAAAATATATCACACGTATTCTGCTCGATCGACCGTCCAACACTCTCTAATCTCACTTGTCTCCTCGTGGCCTTTTTTTCTCCGTTGTCAGTTCATACTCGTGAATCAGCTACTTTTTTATCCTTTGATATGCATTAGCGTAACAGGCGACTCTCCCAAGGGGTAGAAACACTGGGTTGATCTCCTAACATTCGGCCATCCTGTCGTATAGCCTGTCCTCAGGTGAACTCTCAGTAGTTTCATATATAAGAAGATAAAAATCATTAATTACATAGAATATCAAGAGTTACCTCAGGGTACGTTATTTTTTTGAGCTTTGTACTTATAATTCACCCCTCTCGAAATTGCTTCTTTTTTATCGTGATTGAGCCTTGTACTACTGCCCATCCAAACAGTTACACATATTCGTCTGTGAATGAGCCTAGTACATATATTTATCCATCTCAACAGTAACACATTCCCACATGTGATTGAGCCTTGTAGATATATTGTGTCCATCTAAACAGTCACACATTCTCATATGTGATAACATAAGCCTTGTACATATATTGTACCCATCTCAACAGTCACACATACTCGTCTGTGAATGAGCCTTGTACATATATTGTACCCATCTCAACAGCCATACATTCCCATATGTGATTGAGCCTTGTATATATATTGTACCCATCTCAACAGTCACACATACGTTTATTATTTGCATGGTCAAAGTAATCAGCTAGATGTCCTATAGATGTTAACTCAGCTGCCCTAGCGGAGAGTTTGATGTGTTCATTTCCTAAACCTTCAATAATCGAATTAATGATATTCGTCTCGTTAATATCTAAATTCAGTTTTTTAATGTTGGCAACAATAATCACTCAGTTTTTGTCCCTTCTCATGAGTTTGCAGCTTCAATAAACAATTTTCCGAATTTAACATCACTAGGAAAAGTTTCGATAAGAGATGTTTTCATATTCTCCCATAAAAAAAAACTCTTGTATTGAAGAGTCGTACCATTTTCGCGCATTCCCACGTAATCTGCTAGTTGCTAATTTTACAGTTAACATATTGTCCCACCGATATATATTTTTCAGTTTATCAACTTTTCCTACCGAAAACGAATTCGGGAATCAACGATTCATCAATATTCAGACTACTATAAATGTTTCTACTCACAGTTTTTCCGTTCAATTTTCTTTGAGTTGTTTTTAACTTTTTTCTCAACCTCCTTACTTCCGACAAAGAATCACTAGATGATGATATGGAAATACGTCAGTTTTTTTTTTTATTTTTTTTTCGGCATTGTTAATTTTCGGCCTCTTAACAACTTTGCTACCTTCTTTCACGTAGATCACTATAACACTTCTAACTTGTAGTAATAATACAAATGACAGTCTGATATTTACTATAATATTTTTAATGGAAATATCCCGCAACCACAACCAAAATATATTACAGGTGTTCTGCTTGATTGACCGTCCAACACTTTCTAACCTCACTTGTCGCCTCGTAGTTCGTAGCCTTTTTTTCCGTTGTCAGTTCGTACTCGTGAATCAGCTACTTTGTTATCTTTGATATGCATTAGCGTAGAAACACGGAGCCGATCTCCTAACATAAGATTTGACACAATGTTATAGGTTTGTAATTTTCAGGGGGATATCCTTCCTTAGACTATTCGGAGCAGGATATAATATTTCCTGATTTATTTGCGCTTCTTTTCGATGATCCACCCTCAGAAGTGAACAGTCCAAGAGGTCCTCCAAAATGTGCGAATGGAAAAACTTTTTGCGAAAATGTCGAGTCCTATCCTTATCGCCACTTGAAAGAAACGTTGAAGAAGAACCCCATCTATAAAGATTTCTTTGGGAAAGATGAAGCTCCCGTTGAAATCGCGAATAGGGTTGGAGGTGATCAATCAAGGTACTTTTGCGCTTCTATTGTATCAACGATTTATCCACAAATTGGAAAGAATAAAAATAATAAGTGGAAATTTATCATAAATCAGAAAGAAGAAGATGGGTTGGTACAAGGCGTTCTGGTAGAGACTTGTAGAAAGTGAGTACCTTTTTTTTATTGGTGATGGTGTCTTAGGAAAAATATTTTCAAATTTTGTACTGGGTGATCCAAACTAGATTCAAATTTGTAAGGCACTTCATTGACGACAGCATTGGTTTTCAGATAAAAGACCATGTTTAACTTCTCATGAATTGATACATGATCCCAATGTTGAAGCATACCATATTTTCCCAATTTGAGGTTTAAATTCATAACTATGGTTGAAAATTCATGTACTTTTCTCTGCGTTATCAAAATGGTATTTCACTGCTTGTAATGGCTAGTTTAGTGTTATAAAAAAATGAATCCAATAAATGAAATGAATTTTTAGTTGCCCACTGACAGTTGAATATTGTAGAAAGTTCGGCAGGCAAAACATCCTACGCACTCCACAAAAAATGTGAAATGCCAGGGGATAAAAAACCGGTTTTTCACAGGAGCCAGCCGCACATGTGTGGTCTCAGTTAATAGATCTTGAGTTGCCCATCTTTGCACTTGAGTGTACTGTTCTGACGTGTCCCCGGTTTTTCCCTTTTTTGAAGTGTTGTGTCCACGAATTGTTCCATTCTCACTAGAATATCTATTTTGATGTCAGAAAAGTATACTTCTAATATCGGTGCCAACTTCTAAAATCTTGTTTTTGTTGATACACTTTCGACAAAAATGAAAATATAATCCTGTAGCTGCAGATTCAGTTGAGCATTGCTTGAGTTTTACACAGTTTGACAAAACGGTTAAGGCTTTCGCGCCGATGTGTTTAGTGTAACTATTTTCCAGGTTTGAAGGCCGTGGATATTAGGCTGCGTAACGCGTATTTATGTTGACTCCTCAGATAGTTTTCCTGGCTTGGGTAAATTACCTAAAGCGTGTTTGATTCAGGTAGTCTGGTGTAATGCTACCTGTACCTGGATTCAGTAAATTTTCAATAACTTCCGTTGACCGTTTTCTACCTGAATTTCTATTGCCTCCCGTAACAGTCGGCTGTGGTATCCCTGGTTATGGAACAGAATCCTGTGGTTTACCCTACCGAGTGATGATTTGTCTATTTGGTTCAATCAGCAGTTTCTTCCATGCTCCTTCATTCAGTCTTGTTACCAAGGATCTTTTGGTGGTTTCGATGTATACCTTCACACATGTGCACGGTATGGGATGCACCCCTGCTGCTGATAGCGGGTCCCTTTTGTCTTGAGCCGACCTGAGGCTTTGCACATCTTCTTGGTAGGTTTGAAAACCGTTTCAATATTGTGTTTCCCCAAGAGTTTTCCAAATTTGTCTGTGACCCTAATGATATAAGATAGATACGCGCGTGCAACCATCTGAGCTTTCTTTCCGTTTTGTGCCGTATAACTCTTCAGTTTGATTGTTTTTTGATATCGGGTACACTGTTTCCATTCGATCTCCTCTGAATGTTCTAGTCCACATATTCTTTGAGCTCGTTCCGTTAGAGTGGAGATGACTCCTCCCTTTGGACTAGGATGATGGTTCGATAGTACATGCAGGTACTTATCCATGTGCGTGGGTTTTCGATTCACTTCGTGGGTTAGTCTAGAACAATCGTTCGATTAGTACATCTAGGAATGCTATCGGCTGCTTGGGTGTTGAACGTTCAAGTGGTCTTATAGTTTATATCCCTAGGGACACAGACATATTGTGTTTCCCTTGGGGAAACACAATATCGAAACGGTTTTTGAACCCACCAAGAATATACAACAAAGCTGCAGGTTGGCTAAACACGAAAGGGGCCCACTATTTGTTCGAAAAGTACAAAAAGTTACACATTTTTTGAAAAATTCGAGGCAGATTTGTTTCTGCTGTTAAAATTTTATTGTCAAGTACTTCTCATCTTCGTATGTAAACAGATTGATTAAAAAAAAGTAATTGTAGAATTTAACTGATGAAACGTTTCACATGATGAATTACTGAATTACTGTCACTACATCTTCAAAAGTTTGGTATTTTCACATTTTGTTGTTGAACTTGAATTCTAATTGATTTATTTGGACCGACTTATTCTCATGACTCGCTTGTTTAAGTTATCCACAAGTATTTTCAATCTTAATGTATACAACTCAAATATTGATTCATTGACATCATTCAGGTATATATTTTAAAGTTCAAGAAAATTTTTCGTTATACTAAGTAAATGGTTATAGGAAAATACAAGATGAAGCAAACTAAATAAACAAATGACGGAATATATTTTGTATCTAATTTTAAATAATTATGCTTTGAACAGCCTGATTCTTCGTATTCTGGAGCTGGGGAATCAATATCACAAGTATTTAGATCTGTTCAATGTGTCACTTCAGGTCTTGAAAAATCAATTAATTATTTGTATTTCACGGTTCGCTAAATGTTTCGTAAAATGGTAAATTGTAATGAAGACATTAGACACAAGCATTCAAAAATACTATGTAGTTCTTCACACTTTACTGAATGTGTTTTTGTAAATTGGCTTTGCCGTTAAATAAATAAATTAATTTCTCGTTGAGAATGAAATAACGGTGATAAATGCTAGAACAGGCAGATCCATAAGCATAAGACATAACGATCTTCACAAAGATGAAACGGATAATGGTGTAATTTTGTTAACCAAAAGTAATAACTAAACAATATCATTAATAAAATTGTTATAAGGAAGATAATTTCAAAATTCAGCTACCTTTGTTTGCTTCGGTGATATTCTCGAGTCCTGAAACTTTTCCCAACGGATCAGGTTGACAGTCATCAAGAAATAAACTGTTTCCAAGAAAAAAAATCATTTTAATAGAGGCCACTAGAGACCACGCAGGAGTTTGTATAATCCAGTCTAATTAGTTACGTTTTGTCATTCCATAAAAAGACTCTCGATTAAAAAAATTATTATATTCATAAAAATTCTTGTGCTTAGTAGTAGCGATGAAATGAAAAATACTCATGAAGGCGAATATACGATCTGATAATTGCTATAAAATGGTAAACACTGAGGAACATTTCATGAATTCGAAGAGTTGAGGATTAAGTAGTTGAATAAAATAAATGATATTGGAAATTCGAATTATTTTTGGGATTAAATGATGCTTGCCAGAGGATGAATGAAAATTGCTCTCATTAGGGTTATTTGGGACGTATCGGGGTTATTTCGGTCTCATTTCAGGTATCGTCAATGGTGCTTCATAGTACTTTTCACGGAGCAACTGCGTGAACTACCAAAAGAAGGAAAACTGTAAAAGCGACAAGAATCTTCCTGAAAATTTCAAGCATGCAGCTTATCCACCTCTACCATGTATATTTGATCTCGACGCGACGCCTGGCGCTCTCATTATTCGAAGAACTGATTCACAAGTTCTTTGAAATCACAGGGGCTTCACAGTAGACCCACTGTACCCATTACGCAACTACGCTAGACGGAGATGTTGAAGACATTATCCTGGCGGACCAGGAATGTGTCTTCTGTATTTCTTTGGCTAACGTTCCTTTCTTAGTGTGGCAAGCCAGCATTATTTCGAAATTTGGGAGTAGGGTCTCCGATAAGAACAGCCAATTATCTGAACAGAGTCTGCAGCGTTCGAAGACAAAGTATCGAAATTTCATCAATTTCTCCATCTCTCTTCGAACGATATCCATCTCACATGAAGCCTTGAACTCCATGACGAATATTATCCTACTTTGATGGTCGTCAAGTACAACATCAGACTTATCGGCCTGAGAATGGAAGATGAAAAGTCAACATCCCTTCCTCTGTATGATCATCATAAGAAGAAAGCTATCTGAAGACGAAGACCTAGCAGATAGAACAACTTTATCAATAGGATCCATCATTAAATCATCTATAGGGAGAAACAAGTTCAAAAAAGCTTCGTTCATGTTGAAAAACGATGTATTCTGCAAAACTAGTGAAGATATATGCAACATATGGAAAACACTAACTGAGCGGCAATACGGTCTGCATTGCACTGAATTGGAGACCAAAGAGAGGGAGGGAGGGGAGAGTAGCAAACAATGAGATCGCCCAAGTGACCTGCAAAGAGTATTGAATTCTATAACTCCAATATTTTATATTCAGATGCATATGACCCTCCATCGTTTCCTTATTTTGAGATCGCAGTTGAATATGTATTCAGACAAATTTTATGTTGAAAGTATTGAAAATTCACGTCACTTACTTTATACGTTTTTTTTTTCAGACCAGATAAACCATGTGACATTCTTGTAGACCTTCCTGCGGGATATACTACATCGTGCAAGCAGAAGTACATTTACAGAAGATTATTAGCATTAGATGGATCCGGCTCAGTGTATCCGGATAGTTTTCAAATTCCAACGGCTTGTTGTTGTTCCTATACTCGTAATACAGAATTTTTGGCAAGATTTGGAGCTGCAGTTACTCCTGTTAGAAAAAAAGATATCTGAAAAGAATCTACCTACTCACTGGAAGTAATGAATTATCCCAATTTTTTCGTTCACCAGGAGTTTTTTTTAAGCTCATTGAAGATATAACTACCATTTCAAGTATTCTTCATGAAACAAAATATACAATTCCATTGTTATTATAGTGGAATCTCAAACTTATAGTTTAGCAATGTAATAACTGCTTATATTCTCCTGAATATATAAGGCACTGAAGAGACGGTAATTTTTTGAAGAATTGAATATGACTGATAATGATAAATGAATGAATAACAATAAACTCACTCATAGTCATTCACAAATATCTTAGAAGCTATTCAATATATTCATGAAAATCATCAATTTTCATTTTTGTCTTTTCCCGGTTCCCTATTGGGTTTGTCTTTCAATCTTTCTGTTTCCTTTATCTAATTCAATAACCACAAAAAATATGTCATGCTCAGAATATGAGATTTTTGTTATTGAATTTGCTCACCCCATATTGGTGTAGTTCTAGCGCTATATGCGTTCATCGAGAGGACAGAAGTTATATCTTGAAGATATAATTCATTCGTTACTGAAACTTCAAGATATAACTTTTGTCCCCGCAGTAAACGCACATACCGATGATAATATCTACCGCAGTAGCAAACAAAACGTTTGGTACTTTAGGTTTCATTCGACCATGACCTACTGACCCGTATTTTGTTCGCTTTATCAGTTATCATATCGGCTTAATAACGTAGTACTTTTTGGAAGTGGTAGTATTTCAGAATGAAAAAGTTGATTCGATTTCAATGCAGATATTAACAACTTAACTTTATATTCAAGCTATTTGAATTGACTTGATATTCAAGCTACTTGACTTGAATTGACTTGAAATCAAGTCAAGTTCAAGCCAAGTAGTAGTTTTTAATATCAAGTCAAGTCAAGTATTCATTTATCAAGTACTTGAAAAATCAAGTGCTTCTATCAAGCTACTTGATATTTATGTTTATCAATATTGAGAAACCTCCAAGCACTGTTTGATTTCTGGAGAAGTGTCTTCCAACAGGAGCTGAAGATGCTGGCGTTGATAAAAAATCTTTGATCAATTTGGCCAACCTTGTAAAAAAATTTGCGTGCCTCCTTCACCATTTTAATATATCTTCAGACAGGAATTTGTCTATTTCATAACGCCAAGTCATTTCATTTGTTCGATTCACAGGAGATTTCTTGAATAAACTAAGAGATAGATATCAAACTCACTGTATTCAACCTTTGAAGATAGAGATGATGCTGTTGTGATCTGTAGACCTGCCTGAAAATATTTTGTTTCAAAATTTTTTTCAAAATGTTCGACTGCTTCCTTTTCCAAGTCTTTTTCTCAATTTGTATTGGAGAATGTTCCCACTGTATTCTGGGGATATAAAATTGATACAACACACTACATCCAGTTTGTTCTTTGTTGATGAATTTATCTTCAGCCGCTTGAATACTGTAAATGAATTTTAGATCAGTCTCATTTCTACTTGGATTATTATCGAGTTCAATAGCCCATGGTTCTAGCTTATCCAGGAGCATATTTATACCAATTGTCACCATCGGAAGTGTGCATTATGCTTCTCCATCTAATGTTTTGGAAATTGTCTTGAAACTGTTCAGACAGGTATTGACAAAATCGATCTATTTATCGACAACTCTGTGTCTGTAGGCTTCACAGTTTTAATATTTTCTGTGTTATGACAAATAATGTTCATAGAGTTTTTCATATTGAGGCCACATCGTAGCATATCCAAAGTTGAATTTCGGCATATCCATTATTTAATTCAGAGAAATGCAAAATTTTCGAAATCGCCGCGCAGATTTTCCGAATTTTTTGACTTCTTTGTTGGAGATAGCAAATTTTGATCTCCAGTTATCTCATCACTCTCCAATAGATCTGTCTATATCTCTAGAAAGTCAAAATCAGAATCAAGTATTTTAATAAAATCCCCTTCCCTCAGATTTCATATGTGCACAAAACATACTAAGAGACTATTTCCAGGGTCAATGTCGGAAATAAAGTCTGCAATCTCATTCATATAAGTGAAATTGCTGTTTGTATCATCAGTTGTGATTCCTTACACAGAATTTGTTAAATCGTAGAATTCCAATGTATCAGCAAAAAGCTGACCGGAACATTTNTTGGTTACGAAGACTTTTAGGAAAAAAAGTTATATGAAGTACTGGTGATATTTTGACCCCATCTATACATTCCCGAGAGGAAAAGAGGAAGTCCAGGGACACCCTGTATGTTGTCCATCAACGCATTTAGGCAAGCTAGCGTGGAGATACGTAACATACGGAAACCTTTAATCAAGCGAAAAACGGTTATCTCCCGCTAAAACCAATGAAGCGGAGAGAGGGAAGAGGGGATAAGAGAAAGCACTCGAATGAGAGCTTATCTCGGAGGAATAAGTCCAGTTGTCACCCGAAGACGATTGTGGATACTAACAATCCAAACGTCGTGACATAACTTGGTTTGGAATCTTTCAATTTAAAATTTTCATTTTCTGTCAATAATATTTTTGAATTTTTCAATTTCAAGCTTTTATTATTATTTGAATTTTTCATTTTTGGTTGTTGCTTGTATGTTATTTCTTTGTAATTCTTCTACAGCCACATTCTTGCCGCTAATACGTGTCATTAATGCTGTTATGACACTGTCATAACATTTCTGTTCATGATATTGGATAATTTACTGATTTTGTATGACATGAGTTCAATTCAATTATGAAATGAATCATCATTGATAAGTGTACAAACGTACCTGGCGGTTATTTGATCGATAAAATATGGTAGAGAATCAAAAAAAGAGCTCATCATCATTTTTCTAGGACTCCACTTTCCGTGCATTATAGCCCCGTCGACAATAAAATCCTGTGTGAAAAATCATCACACGCCATTTTTCGAAATCGGAAACCTTCCTGGAATCACTTAAACATCTATCTAATTTATGGGTTTCATTATGCACATAAACATTACCTTGATAAAATCTGCATCTCATTACCTGGCAGAGTTCGAAATATTGTAGTAGTATCTTTCGTGAAGTTACGTTAACTCCATTATATCCGCATTAAAAGTGAAGGAGCAATAACTACTTTTCGTTTACTCCATCGACAGAATGGAAAACATATAGTGCAACCTATTCTAAGTACTAATTGAATCTGGCAATCGAAACTTCTGCGAACTGAGGACTAACGAGGTCTTACCTTCCAACGTATGATTCCTAACACGAGTTGGACGATAGCAAGTGAAAATCGATCGTTCAGCCTGCAGCTTGAACCACCGACTCACACATCGGTCGATTGAGAGAGTGAACAAGGCACCCACGTCGATCTGCCAGGCTACTGATCTACCT